TGTTTGAAGTGCCTAAGGAAGCGACTCTCAGTTTTTAGTAAGTTTATTAAAAGGCATACAGCCAGCCATTATTTCTTCAAACAAACTTTGGGTTTTGATTTTCTAGATTCAGGGGCTTTGGCTCAATTCTCCATTAATCATAAGAAGCAAAGTGTTCAGGCCCTGAGTTCTTTGGAGTTTCATTTGGAGATTCAGGAAATATATTCGTCTAATTGAAGGCATCCTTGGATGTGGTTATGTTCCGGACCTGCTTTCCTTTGCCCGGCACTGAACCTCTGTATATGTAGAGACAGACACACTTACACACTGGGCCCATTTGGCTCCTGTTCTTGAAGTGATGCTATGGACCAGCATTTTAAAGCAGCTGTGTGTGGACAATAAGAGTGCTTGGTGTCTGCTGTATGCTTTGTTAAACTGATGAAAGCTCGAGGTTTGTTTTGTCTTTACAAAGTCATCACTGCTTTGTATCAGAACAGTCTAGAAGAGATGGCCTACACTTACTCAGCCTTCCTCATTTCACATACAGTATTTTCATGGGTTTTATGGGAACTTCACTGGAGAACTGGCAGAATTCTAGAAACCACTCCCACCCCTCATAGGCCCCTCATACACTGTGTTCAAGATGCACATCTATGCCTATGACCAGGGCAGCTGGCAGCTTGTGAACCACTATTTAAAGGTTTTCTATCTCCTCCCTCATTCCCCCTTTTTTCTTGTCGTTGCTGGTTCTTATCTTGTCTGGAACTCACTGTGTAGTCCACAGGTTTCAAACTCAGATCTGCCTACCTCTGCTTCCCCAGTGCTGGCACTGAAGGTGGGCACCATCATGCCGCTACTTCCACATTTTTTTTTTTTTTTTAGTGTTAAAACAATGACATTTTGTGATACAGGTATGCTGCTAGCCATTTGAAGTAGAAGTTAAAGTAAATTAAGTTTTTAAAAACTTTCTTTTGAGTCATTCGTGGTATGAATAAATTGCTTTTGCTATTTATTCTAAATCATTATTACTAGAAATGACCTTGTGTCTACAATGGCACAGGAATACAACTGAGAGAAAAGTTTCTGACTTTCAATTCCTGTTAACTGCCCAAATTGGTAACAAACACAATGCTGGAAGAATTAATGCATGTGAAGCAAGGACTCTCTGATTTTTTTAAGTCTACTCCAAATTTAATTTGCTCAAGTGTATCATTTTACCTGATTTTATCTTTTTGACTTTTTGCCTGGAAATACCATGGCAGCTACAAATTGGCAGAGATTACTGCTCTGCTAAAGGGAGACTCTGTAAATTCTTAAATTAGAAAGACTAGGCCCAGAGTTATGTTTAAAAATCAGTGTATCAAATGCAAATTTGTGACTTATTATCATGTTTATTTTTTTAATATTGCATATGTGGGATCATGTACAAATACAAGTTTCAGAAGCCCTGGTTCTTGCTTAAGTAGAGGTCAGGACCAGTGAACAAGCAAAGCAGCTTTAATCTTCAGTGAGGAGGAAGTAACCAGGTGGGTTCGATATAGTGTATTTTGGGCCCAGAAATCTCACCTCAGGAATAGTTGGTAACTTCACAAGGCAGTTAAATAGTAAACTGGATAACACTGAAGACTGATGAAGAGTGCAAGAAAGAAAAGTAAGTACAATAGATGAAGTATACTGAGAGCAGCAGGGTGCAAAGACACGTGGGTTGCAATATATTAGGCTGTTAAGTAGGCTTCATGGAGGTGTCATTAAAGATGTAAAGAACTATAGGGAGCATTCGTTAACCATTTCGCTGCACTTGCCTCACAATGGGTAATAACCGAGACTTCTTTCTAGGGATAAGGTGGGTTGCACTAGTTCAGGGATACAGGTAGGTTAGCCATGCTAACGTCTCAGTGCAGCAATGAACATGGCAAATCATGACAGCAAATCTGTGCTACACTGTGCTCCCATCTGGAGCCTTTGCTATGTGGTAAGGATTGACTTGATGATTTGTCCTTATATACTACTCCTTCACATTTGCTACTTCGTAGGAAATAGTCATCTAGACCTATAGTGAAATCAAGCTAACATAGCAATTGGCTTTGGGGTGAGGGGCAGTGAGCATTAGGGGAGAGAAATGGAAAGATAGTTTGCAAAAGGATGTGATTTGGAATAAGATTTACTTGTTGATTTTAACATCGCTAGCTGTCAATCATTAGTTTTCATTATCTGAAAGAAGCCTCACATCTAGTTCTTTCCTTTCAGGTATGGTAACAACACAAGGAGCTATGCAGTTCGAGTTGGGGATTATCATACTCTGGTACCAGAGGAGTTTGAAGAAGAAATAGGGGTTCAACAGATTGTGATTCATAGGAACTACCGGCCAGACAGCAGTGACTATGACATCGCCCTGGTTAGACTACAAGGACCAGGGGAGCAATGTGCCAGACTAAGCACCCATGTTTTGCCAGCCTGTTTACCTCTGTGGAGAGAGAGGCCACAGAAAACAGCCTCGAATTGTCACATAACAGGATGGGGAGACACAGGTAATAAAAAAAACAAAACAAAACAAGGACACAAAGTAGGAAAACTGGGCAGCTTCCTGTCTGGTGTTTACATGCTCAGATGTGCATTGGTAGGACTTAGGTGGACTCAAGTTTGACACCTGAAGTCTGCCAGGTGTGAAATGTACACAGGCAGCCTTAGATTCACATACTGGGGCTGTTAGCTCTGATTCCAATGTTAGCACAAACTGAAAAACTCAACTGCCAGTAGGGTAGGAAGTATTCTGTGTCAGTCACGAAGACTAGTGAGAGGACAGCGAAGAGACTTAAAGCCCCAGTGAAGAATTCAATGCAGAATCCTACGTGGTTTTGAAAGCTCTCCAGATTTGAAGTAGCTGGCCCAATAAAGGGCTTTGTAATTTGCTCTTTTTGCCAGGGAACCCTCACCAAACTGACTTTTAAAGGGATTTCCTCAACTTTGGACAGAACACAGTAAAACTGCTTATATGGAGGGAAACTCAAGTTGAAGGAAAGCATTTAACTGTTTCCCTCACACTTTGCTTTCTGCTCCAGTGGAGTATTCAACATGGGTCCTCAGGTGGATGTAGCTACTTCAACTGTCTGGCTGTGGAGACAAACTAGTGCACAAGCAGCATGCACTCCAGGACAGGTCTTAAAATAGACCAAGGTCTCACTAGGATTAGGTGCTCAACTAAAAAAAAAAATGTATAGTAAGAAATCTAGGTTGGTGGTTTTCTAACAAAAAAATTTCACCATTACACTCTTGAAAAAAAAGTGTCAAGCATATCTTTTGGTAGGTGTTGAAAATGTGCTTTGAACATTACCAATAATCACCATGGAAAAAGCTAGACTTGCCTGTTATGCCCCACAGCAACAAACCACTCTGAGAAGGCTGCTATTTTAGAACGATTCCTTCATGAGAAATTTTCTTTCTTTTGGATACAGTACATTTTCTAGGATGGTCTAGTTACTCCCATTTAGTAGACTATGAGAACATGGGAGCACGAAGTTGTACATTTAAACCATTCCATAAACATATGGCCTATCGGGAAGCAGACTATGAATATAAGGTGGTATGAATCATGCCTATTTAAAGGAGAAACTATGCACATTTATTTCTGAATCGTCCTTATACAATACCACATTTCTATGTTAATCAGCTTGCACTTAAGTTACTTAGGAGTATCCCCATTTTGAAATTCCACTAATGCTGAAGTGAGATTACTAATGTTGACACTTAAATGCAGTCATTAGCTGAAATCTAACTAACTCTTTGGTCTGAGCAGGACGTGCATACTCAAGAACTCTACAACAAGCAGCTGTGCCTTTACTTCCCAAGAGGTTTTGTAAAGAGCGTTACAAGGGACTATTTACAGGGAGAATGCTGTGTGCTGGAAACCTGCAAGAAAACAACCGTGTGGACAGCTGCCAGGGAGACAGCGGAGGACCACTTATGTGCGAAAGACCTGATGAAACCTGGGTTGTTTATGGGGTGACTTCTTGGGGGTATGGCTGTGGAATCAAAGATACCCCAGGTGTTTATACCAGAGTCCCTGCCTTTGTACCTTGGATAAAAAACATCACCAGACTGTAATTTATAGAAAGCTCAATTAACAGTAAAGAAACTGATGGGAAGTATTCAGTCTCCATATTTGGCTGGGGAATTCAACTCCTAAGATCCCTCAGACCAGCAGTTTTGGGGTACAGGTACTTCAGTGTAATACTGGTTATTATCCTTGCCTATTGTACTATTTCTAAGTTTCAAACTTTGACCTAAACTATTTAAAACCAGATTTTACCTAAGACTGGCATCTCTTTACCATTTGTTAAATGGTGAAATAAGGGACTTGCATGTCATTTACTTAAGTTTACTCAGAAATACTTTCGTATCAAGCAAGCCCTAGGGACATGTTTCTAGCCACCTATAAGCTACCACACCAAAATCATTTCCCAAGAACACAGTAGGCAGCTATCAAACTCGAATTGTAATGTTTTGGACCACAAGAATGCCATCTACTGACCCTTTCTCAAGGCTAACAAGACAATTTTATACTAGTGAAAGCAAGAGATGCCTGATGAGAGCCTGGATCCCAGGCCTCGCTGAGGTAAGGCACATTAGTGCTGTTAGAACCTTCTCAAAGCACATACCCCCAAATAGTGCTGTATTCACTTTAGGGGCATGAAGCCTTTTTGAATATTCATCTAATCCCCCAATCCTTACACATCACATGCTTACAGAAAGGCTTTCGGAGGTCATCTTTCTGTAAAGGCAACTATCCATTGGTTGCCTGTGTAATTGAGTTACACTATAACCTACAAGTTTTAAGACCAGCAACTGGCAAATAGGATAAGTGGTCAAATACTTGTAATCTGCGTAAGTTCAAAAGCCACATTTCAATAAAATGACCCGCAAGTGTTCAGTGCACCTTTGCATAACACGTAGTTATCAGACTATCCTCTTAGGGAGTAGTAACTTCGTGTGCAAATGTCTCTAGAAATAAACAGGACACGATCTTATTACTCACCGATCAAGCTTTATTTGGCTCATGAAACAACTTTGTAAGTAATAAAGGTCAGGACCGTATTGAAAACAATGCTGTATTAATACCCGTTAATACTCAATCCCAAGACTTTGAGCGTGAAGATCCTTGTAGGGTGCCCAGAAAAGATCTCAGCCACTATTACTTTAAACAATACCTGCAAGAAAAGAAAACCAACATTATACAGATTATCTGGGTACTTCCCTCACAGTCGAGACCCTATCAATTTAATAACTTCTATCCTATTGGCTACTACTTCAAGTTACACAATGTCAGTACACGAGCAAACTGTGTTCTATCACTCGGAACCCGGAAACATTCAGAGAGAAAAAGACTCACCTTAACATGTCTTGCATCAGGGGACAGCAACGAACTCGGGTTACCTAGAAAAGTGTTTTCAATAGCAGTTTAGAAAAGTCTGTTCACTTTCCTGGCACCAAGCAGATTTCTAACAACTTAGAATGTTACTTGTCCAAGTCAGAATCTGATACCAATTAAATGGTGACAGCTTTGCCAATAACAAGATCATGCTCTACCATGGCTAGGAAGGGAGACTGCCACAGCCGGCAGGTCCCAAAGATACATGGAGTTTCACAACCCACACCCCAGGTGAACTCCCAGAGACGTTACTCACCACCATCCGGAAAAGCGGAGTCCTCGGCGTGGCGCCACCTGACGAGCCGGGCTTCCCATGGCCTCAGCCTGCGTGCTAGCCCTCACCACGCTCCCGCGGGGCCGACGGCCAGCGGCCCGCACCGCCACGGCCCGGCGTCTCCCGCATCTCGGCCGCTCGCTCGCAAACGAGGGCCCGAAAGTCACTTAGCCGCAGAGACCACAGCGGCAGAAGAGCCACGCAAAGCGACCGCGGCGA